ACTGTATTAATGAACTGTAGCAACCATAGAATTCATAGAACATCACACAGAATCAGACAAAGATAAACAAAGAACATTTCTTTGTATAAAGGAAAGTTAGAGATGCATTTGTTTTAACGTTCTGCGAGTATCCAGTAAGTAGGTTATGTTTTGACACTTACAACACAATTTAGAACATTACAAAGCCACAAGGCAAGCCACCCACTGCAATGCTGTCCTAGCTAACCTATAATACTCGAGGAATCCTTTGTCGTAAATGAAATGTTTATTTGTAACACAAATATTGCACATTTATAAATATACACAGTTTAAAAACCTACAAAAAAAAACAAGCAAAATAAAACTGACCCAACACTATAGTTTCATTTTAAGTTACTGAAAAAATATCATGTCAGCCAAACAAGATTCCATGCTTGAGCGCATTTCAAGCTGGGAAATACTCAATGATCCCGAGGAAGGCTGCTAATTACAATATACAAAAGACAGTCACATGTTGTTCTGCAGAGAGGATTGAGCCCGCAATCCATGCTGCTGGAACTCTTGAATGAGTTCTTTAAAGGAATAAAATGATTTATTCCTATTTAAGCTTATTTACCTTACCGTTTACAGCATTCTAGCTGAATGCACCAATTCACATTTTTTTTAAGCTAAATGAACTGGGCACAAGGATTGTGGACTAATGGGGTCATGCATGAAAAGTGGGCTGCTAAAAAAACAGTTACCTGGTAAATTAATTTCCAGGAATCATCCAGGACAGCAATGCGAGAGAGAGATTGGCTCTGCGCACCTATGCCAGAAAACACAAGCCTCACATTTAAATAAAAGCGCTAGATACCAGTCAGCCTCAATAATAAAATCAGAACTGAAGGCATGCAATCAAAAGATAGGAATTATAAATAAACATTAAGTGTGGAAATACCCTGTGTGGTCCTAGAAGATTCCTGGAAATAAAAAGTTACCAGGTACCCAACATCTTTTTTTTCCTCCAATCATCTTCTAGGACAGCACATTGGAGGATTTTGATGCCTACTCTTTGCTCCATTTCCGTTGACTGACTAATTGGACTAATTGGTCTAAAATAGCCCCCTACCCCAAGAGCTTATGTCTGTTGTAATCATTGCTGGGTTGCTTAGGAGACACACTCGTCCCTGACACAAGTTTGAATAGTTTGTCCACTATGAAAATGAATTTTGGCTCTGAAGAAGTTGCGTGCCACGTGCAGGCCCTAGCATGCAGCAGCCAGCTCTGTGAAAGGAGTGATTGGAGGCTGCTGCACGATTATCAGGGAGTGAGTCTGCCTTAGGAACTATTCTGGTGCCATCAGCAGATATCCAGTCTGTTTCAAGCGCTGTACATCATACCTTTGTGAGTAGATTGGTTGCTTTTATTACATATTTTCTTTAACAAATAGTATTGCACTTAGAGATGACGCTCTGTGTGGTATTCATTTTTGCATGTATGACCGGAATCCCTGATCCTGGTGAGGAACAGCCCCTAAGAGTGGAATAACCTGTCAAGGCTAGAGGACTGCTAAGGCTCCATTGGTGCTGAGATCAAGAATTTAATATATATATAATTTATGTTGAATGAGTTTGTCCACTATATCAGACTTAGGTTGACCATTTAAAAGGTAGTGAAATCTGATTTACCAGCGTTTTCTAAAACCATTCCGATTCGTTAAAAGAAAATTTTATAGGTGTCTTGACTGACTTTCCACCCACTGCACTGTTGCTATTGCCGAGGTCAAATTACCTTTTTATTGCTGTGAAAGTCAATACAGGAGTAAACAGCAATAAGTCCACAGCAGTCTGTAGTGTTTTTGGGAGGGCAAAAACATCCTTTGTACTGTGGAGTCAATCTTAGTGCCCAGAAAGAGAGCAGGAATTAGATTTTTTGCCAAGAAGTGCTTTTCATTGGTCAACGTGGCCTGATGAATGGGCTGACCAATGAGTGGTCGCCCTCTGCGAGTGTTATTCTAAATGATCAGAGTAGGACTGCAGTGCGCGGTATGGTGTACAGAACATACACTGGCAGCTGCGGGATGGGGGTTCATTGGGATGGCAGTTCAAGGCAAACGTATGACCAGCAGGGGTGGGGAGAGGGATTAAATTTGTGGGGGTAATTTCATTTTCTCACATTTAGTGAGTAAGTGGACTTACACTTTAATTGTTCTAACTAGAGGATTAAAATGTGGGCTACATATGTGGTAGCAGCGTATGGGACAGCGTACCCCTTGCCACTGGAACCCCAAAATTTGACCCACATGGGGATGGGGCAGAACTGGGTACCCAAAAAGGGACAAGCCCCAAGTTACCACACTCAGAAGCGTGGTCACTTCAAGGGACTTGCCCCATCCAGACTTCGCCCTCCTATTAGGCATACACCCCGAAGAGGGTCCTCAAGGACAGCGCTCCACTGCAATGAACTACAGCATTAGACCTGTGAAGCACCGTGCAGCAACTACACACACTGCACAAAGTGCTAAGAGAGTGCCCACACAGTATACCAGTATCCCAAGAATTATTTTCATTCCAGTGGGGTTAAGTACAGTCCACCAAGGCTCTCCAGAGGAGAAAACTGATCCAGATAGCTGCTGTTAAGTTCCACAGTGTCTGTTAACAGCATTAGAGAAAACTCAGTAGAAAATTCAGAAAAGAATGTACTTCTCTCAGAGCAGAAAAGGCGTCCATCACCTAAAGACACTAGCAAACCACTGAGGCCAGCTGCAGTGGGAGGATTTATACAGGGATGTCTTAAAGTTCTGATTGATTTGTCAGTGTCCAATAGCTACATAGCTCAGTGTCCTGTGATGTACGATCAAGAAACAAGGCTTTTTTGGAAAAGGATGAGGGGAGATAATTACACTATCCTGCACTGAACTATAGCCGAACTATCAGTCACAGTGCCAGAAGAAGAGCACTGTGACTAGTATCCAACATGAATGAAGCTATCATTTCTACAAAAAGCGGCAGCACAGCAGGCATGTGATATTAAGAATCTGAGGTAAATTATTGGAATTGTGCGGTTTCCAAAATCTATTTTTTTTTCTGAATGTCTGAAAAAAGGATGTCTGGATTAGCCATTTCAGAATATATGCCATTTAGGAACCGCTATGAGGTAGAGGTTTTTTTATTTACCTGGAACTCCTTGTTATATCACAACCGCAGCCACTGCATCATCCATGTTTTATCACCAAATGTTCAATTCAGAATAGCAATTTATTTTGAACATTAAAAAAGTGATCACTTATGAAAACTGAAAAGTGATTTAAGCACTTTGAATTTTCCCAACCACTATGGGCAGCACAGTGGCTTAGTGGTTAACCCTTCTGCCTTGCAGCATGGGGGTCATTGGTTTGACTCCTTGACAGACATGAGCTGCTTTGAGTTTGCACGCTCTCACTGTGCTTGTGTGGGTTTCCTCCTGGTACCACACCTCAAAAACAAGCTGGTAGGTTATTTAGCTCCTGTCTAAACAACTAGCCCAAGTATTCTACTGAGCACACCCAAAATGCCAGCCTTGCCTACTATCTGCCCAAACACCAATTTAAAAAGCACTATAGGATTATAAATGAATGCTAATAAAAGTAAGGCCAGCAGTGGAAAAGCACACTCAGGCAAGAAATGCATGCACACAGCTGTGCATGCTTTTCTTGCCTGAGTGTGCTGCCTATAGTGTCCCAAAATGAATGTTACATATTGAACATGATCCTAAAGCTGGCCATACGCCTTACAATTATCTGCAGCTTTTCTGTGGTCAGATGGAAAAGGTGCAACAGATACCTCCATCTACACTTAACTGTGTGGATGGATAATGTAACATTCAACTTGGGCCAATCTGTTACACTTTTTCCATCTGACCACAGAAAATCTGCAGATAATTGTAAGGTGTATGGGCACCTTTAGTCAGATAGCATCACAAAATAGGAACTGCAGCATCTCAATGTTGCATTACAAGTATAAATTAGCTATAAATAGCTTTTGCTACACTCAGAGGTTCTTTATCGATTACCACTCTTTTTCTCTCTATATATCAGGTGACAAGCAGCAATTTCTCTGTGCACTGATCAAAATAACATTTCTGATTTTCCCATTCCCAGTCTGTCCATTGACATTCCCCAGCATGATGCTCCAGCCTGTATACATAGAGCTTACATAGTGATAACATAAATCGGCACTGTCAGTGTAAGCCATGAATGAGAGCCAGCAGCTGTGCAAAGTGTCGTTTGGAGGCTGGCAAAGTGTCGTTTGGAATCTATCAAAAGGGGAGTACCATTATTTACATATCCTTGGCACAGATCTTACAGAGAAAAGTCAATACACATTAATACATGAGAATACTGAAAACGTTTAGGCCTCATTCACACAGCTTAGGCAGGATCCATCCTGTCCGTGTACAAGTACGGACACCCACACAGATGTGCAACTCGGGTGAGCATATAGCGGCGTGCGGCCGCGTCCTCCTATAGGGAAGAGCAGGCTGCTCTGTACAATCACACGCAGCACCTGTCCTTCCCGAGAGCGGCCCAATACGTCAGTGCACGTCGCACGAATCTGTACGGGCCGACTAAGCTGCGTGAATGAGGCCTTAGCATGCAGATGGAACACTGCCATCTTCAGACTGCAGTGTTCATCAACAGTGCCATATATTTAAAACAATACATTGAATTTTTTTTTATTTTTTTTTATGGAAAAATAAAAATTCGACCATCAAAAAAAAATAAAAAAATATAAAAAAAAAAAAATTAAAAAAAAATGTATAAAAATTAGCCATAGAGTTACTGTTAAAAATCAGCACAAGCTGACACTGATGAACTTGGTCTGGACATCAATAACCAAATGTAGGGAAATAAGTACTTTGCTGCCATGAGTAGGGCACCGATTCTTGGGTATTTTGCATAACAACCAGGATTCGAGGTTCAGTGTACCAGACATTCAGCCATCCAGCAACTAAAGGCCTTTCAAGCTCTGAATGTAACAAAGATAGTCCTGCACACTAACCTTGGGACAGCTTTCTTCAAGTGTTTCTCCCTCATTCGTCTGCATGGGAAAGAAAAACCTGTGTGCAAAATGGTGCAGAATCACACACAGCTATTGTCTAAAGATAAAAACAGGAGAAAAAAAATAGGTTATAAAGAAAAGTTAATGCAGAATTTTAAAAAGAACACACACACACAGCCATTCCCACTGCGAATGTCTGTGGAAATTCATTCTGTCAGAGGCAAAAATTAACATTCTTAGTATACAGGCAAGGAAAAAGAAAGTACATCCTCTTTGAATTGCATGGTTTTAAGTATCAGTACATAATAAAAATCAACAGGTCCTTAGCAGGTCTTAAAAGTAGGTATACACGACCTCCTTTGAACAACAACCCATGACATATTACACCGTGTCATTATTTATTTTACAAATATAAAGCCAAAAGAAGAAGTTGGAGAAGTTATGTGTGAAATACTAAGTACACCCTTAATGCTTCTATAGGAATTAAGAGACTAAGTAGCAGTCAGCGCTGATGCCCTTGATTAACTGATCATCAGCAAGAGTGACCACCTCTATAAAAGCCAAAGTTTTAGTAGTTTGCTGGTCTGGAGCATTCAGGTGTGTGTTAATGCCAAGGAGGCAAGACATCAGCAATGATCTTAGAGAAGCAATTGTTGCTTCCCATCAATCTAAGAAAGGTTATAAGGCCATTTCCAAACAATGTAAAGTCCATTATTCTACAGGGAGGAAGATTATTCAAAAGTGGAAAACTGTCATGACAGTTGCCAATCTACCAAGGAGTGGGCGTCCCAGCAAATTCACCCCAAGTCAGACTTACACTGCTGTGCAATATTGCAAAACACCCACGAGTTACATCTCTGACTCCACAGGCCTCAGTTAGCATGTTAAAGTTCATGACAGTACAATGAGAAAAAGACTGAACAAGTATGTTTTTCTTGGGAAGGGTTGCCAGGAGAAAACCTCTTCTCTCTAAAAAGAACATGGCAGCACAGCTTAGGTTTGCAAAGTTGCATCTGAACAAACCACAAGGCTTCGGGAACAATGTCCTTTGGACAGACAAGACCAAAGTGGAGATGTTTGGCCATATTGCACAGCGCCATGTTTGGCAAAAAACAAAACACGTCATATCAGAACACTTCATACCACCTGCCTAGCACTGTAAACCAAAGTATTCTAGAGCCAAATGTGAGGCCATCTGTCCGACAGCTAAAGCAAGGCCAAATTGGATCATGCAAATGATCCCAAACACACCAGCAAATCTACAACAGAATGACTGAAAAAGAAAACATTTCAAAATGCACAGATCCAATCAGAGTGCCTCTGTACATTTTGAACACTGTGACGGCCAATCACAGGGAACACAAATGTAAACACTCCATCCTGTCTCTATAGTGCCTGTATATTAACACTTTCACCTCCCTTATCCTGCACATTAACACCCTCATCTCCTTCCTCTCACTGTAAGTGACCTAAACATTAACCCCTTCATCTATGACCTGTAATGATGTACTGTATCTAGTGCACCATTACCATGTTTCATGTTTTAACCACCTCAATACCAGCATATTACTTCATTTGCAAAAAATTGGATCATCCTGGGGTAATAAAAAAAATAATTTGGATACATGAACAAGTAATTGTTAGCCAAACTATGCAGTCTTGTTTATAAAAGATGGGCCAAAGAATGGGACACAACGCCCAATATTGAAGCAATTAACTAATTGAAAAATACATTTTTTAAAGAGTGTACATATAGGTGCTTGTGAAACTGTAGGAACATTAGCCTGAAAACTACCTTGATGCAGTGACTGATTCCAACACCAAAATGATTCTCTAAACATCTGCATTATATGTCAGTGCCACAAAAATACAGGTATCTAATAAAAAATATTCCACTAGGATAGGACACATCTGGCTGATTTCCCCATCATTTTAAAGTGGACCTTTACTAATATATTTAAAATAAAACAAACACACCTTTACTAATGTTTAGTAATGACAATCTACAAACAGATACTTCTAGATAATTGCAGGCTTTGTATTCTTTGCATACCTTATTTCTCTTTTCTTTCCCAATCTTCAGACAGTGGCCATGTTAACTAAGGGGAGATTACTAGCTCTCCTATTACTTCCTGGGACATGTGACTAGGGCATGTGACCATGCACAAAATCACAGGGGAGGAAAATGCCTTTCCCTATGATCTCGTGAGATTACAGATGAGATTTCCCAGCAATGCTCTGCTGATGACAAGGTAATCCCAGTATGCATTGCTTTGGCAAACTGAAGTCATTTTGCCCTTTCAAAGCAGGAAGTGAATGCTCTGCAAGTGTAAGTATTTAGAAATCACACGATTTTACACCTGACATGTCTATGTTATTATTAATCATCATACATAGGGGGAATGCATTGGTAGAATTGGATATTTGAGTGCAAGGTCCGCTTTAACATTTTAGAAAATCTACAGCGTCTGGCAGGATCATGAAGCAGCAACAACAAGATCATACTAGGGATACAGAGTCAAAGTCCAGAGTCGTCTGGGGTTTTTATCTATAATACAAACATTTGAATACAGCGGCTATGTTTGTACTGTGGAAAATACTTTTCTCCCTGTACCTCCTTTTCACTCTTGAGTCCATTCGTTTTAAAACTGGGGCCAAGGTGTTAAAAAAGGAAGTAGGTAGCACAGCTTGACCCAGAATTACAGGGTCCTGGGCCGCTTAGGACATTAACCAATCACATATGCGGACATCTGGATGTGCCTTCAGTGCCATCCAGATTTAGGTTCAGGTTGAAGGAGGGCCTAGTGTCCCATACAGCCATTGTCATGTGAAGCAAACTGTATAGCAGTTTAATCTCTCATGGACTGGGCTATGAGAAGTGTACTAAAGGAAAAATATTTGTCTCCCCATGTCAGCTAAACAGAATCCTTAAACAATTTCTAAACCTGGACAGGATAAACATTAACAAGAAGTGGACTAGGTAATACATTTTGTCTTCACACACTATTCAAACATCAGCAACTTAGTTTTCAAGACATTTTTGATTGTGTAGTATAGAGCCATTAACACAAATTGTATACTAAAACCTCTGCTGCTGGAAATAGAGGTAAAAGGTTCTAAAGTACAACGTTACCAAATTATTTTATAATAAAAGACTCCTTGGCTGTAAAATTGGAAATGAACTCAACAAATGAAGATTTTCTATGTTTTTAGGGAACATCTAGATGTGTTATCTGTGCATAAGTAGTACCTAGAAACTGTTCATTTTGTCTGAGATTCCTCCTGAACAATGGCAGAACAATTCCTGGTATGCAAGTGTGTCAGTCACTCTTCTGCATACAGCCATATACATTTACACCTGCAGTGTGGATGTAAGGCAGATCAGATTAGAGATTCCTGCTGCAGGATAAACACGCACACACACATACTAATGCAGAATAATACACCCTCCTGCACATAAGATAAAAGACAGAGCCCCGTCTTCATCAGTGACTGCTGAGTTTTTGTAGATATTTGAGGATATAGCATGTTGACTATAGCCTCAATTATGAATGAAGGGGAAGTGATCTACATCACCTCCTGTTCATTCATAGTTGTGGTTATAGTAAACACAATGTTCTCAAGTTATCAATGAACAGGAACACTCAGAGGATTCCTGTTCATTGATAACAGGGGATACAGAAAAAGAGATTGAGGACTCTGTGTTTCTGAGGACTCTCTGTGCTCAATCTCTTTTTCCATTTTAAAAAGGGAAATAATAGGGGTCTGTTTAGATCCCTAATATTTCCCCGAAGGCCCTAAATGTAAAGTAAAAAATAAAAATATTTTTTTTTTTTAAAAAAGGAATAAAAATGTTTTTAAAAAATTAAATAAAAAAACATTTTTGGTTTCGGTCTGACAATTTTTTTTATTTATTTCGGTTTTGAAATCTCCATTTCGGTGCACCTCTACTGCAAACATAGAAATGCATTAGTATCTAATCATGACCAAACAAATGCCATCTTTTTTAAGCTGCAAAGCAAACCAGAAAGAATATGAGCTACACATTTTTCGAAGGTTTGTACAATAAGAAAATACTTTTAAATGTATCCAAACAAAACTTTTTTCTTTTGTTCTGAATCAAGGTTGACACTTGAAAACTGTTATCAGGTTTTGTCCATTTCTCTTTTCATTTGTCTTGACAAACATTGCCCCCCATACAGAAAATGATGATAAACCCAAAATGTTACAGTTGTCACCAGAGCTGCAACAACGAATCAATGTATCGATTAAAATCGACTATGGAAAAACGTTGTCAATATTCTTCCATCATCAATTAGTCGGCGATCGATTAGTTTACCCTGCTTGCGGCTCCACACACGACACGCCTCTTCTCCTCCGCGCCCTGAGTTCCCTGACACGCCGCTGCCCGCCAACGATCGAGGGGGAACGGCACCTGACAGGCCTACGATCCCACATCTAAACGTTAGAGTGCCTGCTCCCCCTCACACACGGCAATTGTTTTTTTTTATGTATTGCTGGGATAGTGGGAACTGTTCTATTCTCTATAGCGGATGGTACATTGCGCTGTATATGTACCATCAGCTATAGAGGAATACAAATCCCAGCAATACATTGTACACTGTATGTATATTGTATTGCTGTGATTTGGTGTATTCCTCTATAGCTGGTGGTATTCTGCGTGCAATGCGGAATACCACCAGCTATAGAGGAATACAGCAAATCACAGCAATACAATATACATACAGTGTACAATGTATTGCTGGGATTTGTATTCCTCTATAGCTGGTGGTATTCTGCATTGCGCTGTATAATCATTATACAGCGCAATGCAGAATACCACCAGCTATAGAGGAATACAACAAATACCAGTAAGAATACATTATACAGGGCAATGCAGAATACCGCCAGCGAGTGGGCATTAATGTGGCAGATGAGGTTTAATGTCGATAAATGCAAAGTGATGCACTTTGGAATTAAAAATAAACAAATGGGTTATACAATTATGGGTATGCCGCTGGGGAAGTCAGAAATGGAGAAGGATTTGGGGGTCATTGTAGACCACAAACTGAAAGGTAGTTTGCAGTGCCAGGCTGCTGTAAACAAAGCTAGCAGGGTCTTGTCCTGTATTAAAAAGGGGATGTATTGCAGGGACAAGTCTATAATTTTGCCACTTTATAGATCATTGGTTCGACCTCATCTGGAGTACGCGGTCCAGTTCTGGTCACCAGTACTAAGAAAAGATGTCCTTGAGTTGGAAAAAGTCCAGCGAAGGGCAACCAAACTAATTAGGGGTATGGAGGACCAGAGCTACGAGACGAGGCTACTAAATTTAAACATGTTCACATTAGAGGTGAGGAGATTAAGGGGGGATATGATTTCCATGTACAAAATGTTTAATGGTGGTAGCAACATTAGCGATAAACTGTTTAAAATTAACTCCGTTACAAAAACTAGAGGCCATCACCTAAAATTGGTGGAAAAAAAATTCCAGCACAAGGGGCGAAGGGGGTTCTTCACAGTAAGATCAGTTAGGGTCTGGAACTCACTGCCACAGGCGGTGATTTCAGCAAATAATGTGGAATTGTTCAAGAAACTTTTGGACGATTTCTTAAGGGACCGTAATATACAGGGGTACGGGTACTCCTAGAATGAGATCCTAATAGGTTGGACTTGATGGACTAATGTCTTTATTCAGCCTCAAATACTATGTAACTATGATAATGTACTATTGCTAGGATTTGTTGTATTCCTCTATAGCTGGTGGTATTCTGTATTGTGCTGTATAATGTATTATTGCTGGGATTTGTAGTCCTCTATAGTCTGTGACCTTCTGCACTAATTGCTGTATAATTTTACACTTTCCATTTCACTATATTGCACAACACACTTTTTTTTTTTTTTTTACTTCCACCGCTCCAAGCTTGCTCCTGTGAGGGACTACAATCTCAATACAAACTAGTAGTCCATCACTGGAGCCATTTTTTTTATCCGATCAATTGAACTTAATACATCGGATAACTATTCGATTTTGAAAATAATTGTTAGCTTCAGCCCTAGCTGTCACCTAAACGGAAATGGATGGTATATCTTTCAATGGGGATGCCTGTTCCTGTGACAACTGTGTTAAGCTGACTATACACTCCAAGTCAACGCCCCCATCCATGCTAAATGCCCCCTAAACAGCGTGGATGAGGGAAACCTTCCCTGCCGGGTTATTGTGTTCCGTCATAGCGCACAGCTGTCAGAATACGAGAACTACAGTCACTGTTTGGCTGTCAATTTTTGGCTCAGCTCCTTGAATAATCGACTTTTGTTCAACAGAGTGGTGCTGACAGGGCCACCTACTGCTCAAATTGCATCCAACTCAGAAATTTGAGCAGTGTATGGCCAGCTGTGTCTATGGGACTGGAAGTGTGGGATACAGACCACAAAAAAATAAAAAAAAAAAAAA